AACCTCACCCAAAGAAAGGAAAGCAGTTTCCTATCTACTTGCCCAGACAGGACCGATGAAGCACGGGTCAAGTAATCAGGAAATCCTGCGATGGCTGATCTTAACAATACCCTCCTGAATGCCTGGCAAAGCACCACCAGTAATGACCCCTAAGCTCCCCAAATCAATGAGGTTCAGAGCAGCTCAGTCACTTGCCAAATTTAGCAGGTGACCCTGTTGTATTTTGGATCAGGAATGCCCCCCCAAGGCCCATTTGTTAGGGGGAACGCTGAAAGGAAAATGGGGACCCTGGTGGCCTTCCTCTCTCTCACAGGTCACTGTAAGATAGCGTACATAAAACATGGTGTTTTATGCTGGCACAGGCCCAAAGCAACAGGGCCAAGCAACCATGGACTGACCCTCTGAAACTGTGAACCAGATACACCTTTCCTCTTTTTAAGGTGACTTTCTCAGATATTTTGTTGTCAGAGTGACAGAAAGCTGACTCTCACACATTCCAGTTGCTCCGTGGGAATTACTCACGGGGGTCCAGGTGGTTCGCGTAGAGCTTGCTTACCAGATGATCATGAAGAAAGGCACAGCAAAGGCTTCCGATGTGATGCCATGGATCACGGACTGCAGCGAGCTGGGGAAGGTGGTCACGGTCGCAGGGACGACGTCCCAGGTGGTGTTATAGCTGGTGAATGGTCCGCAGGCTTTCGAGGAAGGAATGCTGCCAGGACATGGATCAAGGGGGTCAGGGCCAGCGTTCAGCACAGGCTGAGGGCACCACCTCTGCACCCCAGCTCATCTTGTTAACGATGGCCTACGGGGAACCACCTGACTTCTGGGCTTTCTGGGATGTTCTGGCCAAAAATATCCTAACATTTTCATCAAGTCTATAGGCCTGACTTCCAGTTTATAGGATTCGGGAGTGAAGATCAAGTTAAATGAGACTGTCAGAAAACAACTGGACAAGACCAGAATGTGGGGATTATATTCTTCAATCTTTAAATTCAAAGATGAGGAAAAATGCCCTGGATTCTTCAGAGGATCAAAAATTAAAAGAGAATAAGGAGACATAATGGCTGACAGTTGAAAGACTTTTATATTTAAAATAAATCTACAGCTGGGTGTGTCAGCAAATGCCTAAAATCTCAGCAACTGGGAAGCTGAGGCAGGAGGATCTCCACAAGTTCTGAAACGAGCCTGGACTACAAGATAAGTTCAAGACCAGCCTGAACTGCATAGTGAAAATCTGTCTCAAAAACACAAAACCTAAACAAATTAATTTATTAATAAAATAAAACTAGAAAAAAGTAATTGGGAACAACTGGAGAAATCTGAAAATGGCAGGGCTATGGCTATTAGTAGTAAGTTTCTTGGTTGTGATGTTATTGTGGAGGTGCATGAAAGAGTGTCCTCTTCTTGGATGCTGCCTGCTTAAGTATTTAGAGATAAACGTGGCGCCTATAACTTATTCTAACAAGGTTCAGGGCAGGGGTGCAGCTCAGCGGTGGAGCGCTTACTTCACATGCTCAAGGTCCTGGATTCAGTTCCCAGTACCAGGAACAAAAACATACACAAAGCCCCCACAAACATACACAATCAAATTGGTTGTTACTACACACGCACAAAAAGAAAGGACTGCCAAATGTTAACAATTGAGACATCCACTTGAGCAGCGTATACATTTGTTATTATTTTTTCCATACATTTAAAATTATTTAAATAAAATAAATTACAATAGAAAAACAAAGTTAAGACTTGAAAAGGACTTCCTAAGTTTAAGGAAATGAATGAGCCTATGGCCCACTCATAGGATGGAATATTAGGGAGCCACTGTGACAGAGACAGAAGAGACGCATGGGCAAGAGGGGATGAGACTGCATCCCAGAGGGAAAGTAAGTAGTTGGAAAATAGAATTAGAAATAAACTTTTTACACTTTTTTGAATATTGTCTCTTGTGAATTCATTTCTCGATTTAAAAATGGAACTTAAAAATATACTTAAGCTCATGTAAAAGAATGAGAGTTTTTCATGTGCTGTCTCTTAGTTGTATCCTTCTATATTATTTGAGTTTTTTCTATAACAGCCAGGCATGGTAGCACACACCTGAAACCCTAGAACTTTGAGGCAGGAGGACCACGAGTTCAAGCCTGCCCTGAGTAACTTAGTAACTTAGCATAATTCTGTCTCAACAGTTTTTAAAAAAGAGAGTCGGGGGGGCCGGGGAGATGGCTCAGTGGAATAAGCGCTTCCCTGGCAAGCGCAAGGGCCTGAGTTCAATCCCCAGTTTCACCAAAAAAAAAAAAAAAAAAAAAAAAAAAAAGAGAGAGAGAGTGGGGGAAAAGGACTGAGGATATAGCTCAGTGTGAAAGCCCTGTGTTTAATTCCTAGTACAAAAAAAATTAATAAAAAAATTTTAAAAACCCACATAGACTCAAACAACGAAACTTGAATTTTTTAATCTAAGAGCAGGATTAAAAGTTTTAAGCTTTTGGGCTAGGGAGGTAGCTCAGCAACATAAGCATCTGCCTGGCAAGCACAAGCTCCTGAGTTCAATCCCCAATACCACAAATAAAGAAATTCTCAAGCTTTTAATTTAACGATCAAGAAACAAATTCCATGATATCTTAGGGCAGAGTAGGCAAAGTATGGCCTAGATGCTAAATCTGCCCTACCACCTGTTGCTCATGAACTTTTGTGTAAACAGTCATAACTCCTCCTTTATATATTCTCTTTGTCTACACTGGCCCTTGTAGTTTTCTGGGTTCTAGTACAAGCAGTTATGCCACAGGAAGTGGCATCCCCAAGGTTTCGCCTCTCCACTTCCAATCCCTAGTGCAGAGCATTTCTGTGTGCTTGAGTCCACACTAGACGCTATAGCTCTTGTGCCATGGCTTCACTGTCCTCATGTCCCTGGTACCTAGCGCAGTGCCTGGCACTTACAAGGCACTTGGTAAATGTTCAACCAAACTGGCCAGAGGGAGGGCAACTTCCTACTTCTTCCTGCTTTCTCCTCAGCCCAAGTTTTCTATAATGACCGGATATCATTTTGATACAAATAAAGAAACGGGATGGGGAGACAGTTCTGTTGTCTAAGTGCCTGCCTGGCAAGCGCAAGGGCTCGGGTTTGATTCGTGCCCCAGATGCCGTGCCAGCCCCG